GCAAAAGAGCTCTGCCACAGCAGAGACATCCGGAGTAGTTATCGGCTCCTCCTTCTCCTTCAGCCTCCTCTTTTATGCTCGGCTGAGTGACAGCTGGGAACACCTGGGGAAGGCAGAGCCAGGTGTTCCTGCACAGCAGAGAGAACAAAGAGGACAACAAAAGGGGGGGAGTACGTAACACATGGATCCTGAGATTCAAGCTCAAGCCGGGGACCAGGGAGATGTTTCTAACAGAGGCTGACGTGAATGTTAATAGATCTGCAGGTATTCGGTCGTAAACAAAGTATTTTGCACAATTAAACGTTGGTCTGATGATAGTCAGAGGATCAGAATCAGAATACCGTCATTCGTCCCACAGAGGGAACATTTTTACATTTGTTACAGCAAGAACAGAGCCAAAGATAGCTCAATGTTACCTAAGAAGCATGCATACAAAAGTATTAAAGATAAAAAAGTTAAACATTTACAAAATAAACATCCTGTAACAGTTCTGAGGGTTTGGCAGCCAGGTTTATATTGCACATATATTAACGGCATATATATATATTGCACATAATTGGTATTAAGACATTAAAACATTACAGAACGAAAGCTTGATTTGGATTTAACACACCGGTATAAATGCACTTCATTGAACTCCGAAGATGCTGTTAATGTCACTGTAACTGATCCTAAATGCAATGCAACAAACACAGATGACGGTGTAGAAGATCATTCAGAATCGGTATCAGAATTCCTTTATTAGTCCCATAGCGGGACATTTAGTGTTGCAACAAAAGTGGCATAGCAGGTAAAAAAGGGCATCCAATACAAGAAGCATGTAATATAATACAATAATGACGAATAAGTGGGCATATATGGCTAAAGCACATCTGTAGCAGCAATTTAGGTAAAACTAAGTGACATAAGTAGCATATAGACATTTATGAAAATATGTATTTTTTACATAAAGGGATTACAAGCGTGAAATAAAAAATAAACCCATTCACAACAAGGGGTGTTGTAGCATAGTCGGTGTTGTTATATGTGTCTACCAGGCAGGGGCGGACTGGGACTACAAATCAGCCCGGGACTCTCTCGACCGGCCCACTTTGGTACCTCTAGTAACTTGACAACTGGGGGGGGGGGTGCTAGTGACTTATCCGACCAGACGACTTCAGTACCGGCCAGTCCGCCCCTGCTACAGGACAGGCAAAAGCTATGACCTGCTAGTGGAGCTGAATGAAAGTCAAGATGATACATACTTGGTAGGATTCGCCTTCTCAAGTACATTAATCTCCGTGCTGAGTTTCATGAACACCTTGCCAATATTTGCAGATATATTTCATTCTGGAGCGACATCGCCATAGAGCCATGCCGCTAGCATAGCTGTAAACGATAGCACTGGATGCTTAACAATAACCACAATCTTTTCCATCCCATTAACTTAAATCATTTTAGGTCAACCTTTAAACCCTTAGACTCCTTTAAATGTTTTTACTTACTCTTACTGCATGAGGCATTTTGGTTCAGGTGAATCACCCCGAGAGGAATCTGAAGCAATTAAGTAAGAATGCTTTTTATGAGTGAGACACGGTGTAACTTCATCCAAATGAAAACCTGCCTTCTCTCCCACCTGACTTGCTGCCCAGATATCTTTACGGCCCATATAGCCTGAGTGTTAATATGAGAGGCCCGTCTGCAGCCAGAGAACGGTCTGGAAGCTTTTCTGAGGACAGATCCACGGTCCAACATGAACGCTAACCAGGCACTTCTGCAGAAAACCTGATATTTATAGACGGCAGAAATGCGAGCTAAGCACTTTATATTGAGCAATAGTTAAAAGTGATATCAAAGTCTCCCTGCTGGTTTCTCTCTTTCAACCAGGTTCCTGAAGTCTGCCGGTCCGTAGATCCTTCGATTAAGGTTGCAGGAAACTCCCAAAAGAGTTTATTTTCTGCTGCATGACTGCGTTAAAGTCCAGTTTAAATTCTGAGTAGGAACCTTTGAAATAATGTAGAAAAGCTGTAGATCAGGGACTTGTGTCATGTTCGTATGTTTGCAAAATGTCTTCAAAGTTCAGGAAAGTCTTGTCAAAATTGTGTGTGAAATCTGGCATTCATAAGATGTCGTAAATCATGGATCAAACATAAGTTAAGGTAAAGACAGGATCCCTTAAATTGCTTAGTTTAAGCCTTCCCTTTCCTGCAGCTCAGAGAAAAAGCCACTTGATGTGGAAGCGGTTAATATTGAGGACTTTAATTCAGTTTTATTGCAGTGTTTGTCTTAAAGGTCCCATGTCATGCTTTTCTGATTATCACCCGTCCTCTTGTGTTATGAAGCTTTTTCTGCATGTGAACGGTCTGCAGAGTCACAAACCCTCAAATTAAAACTCTAACACAGAGAAGACCTGTCTGTGCTGCCCCAACCAAAATGGACCAATCCACGGAGCTCCTCACACACCAGGACCGTTAGCGTACATTTTCAACTAACAGGGAGTCCCATTGACTTGCATAGAGCTCCCTGGTTGGTAATAGGCCAGTTGGGATGGCGGAGAAATGCTCTCCGCAGACCCATTCTCACAGCGTTATAAACCTTTTTCTTACTCAATATCAAGCCACACTTATTGTTTTCACTTCGGCTGTGAGTGTGTGTGTTTGCTTGTTCTCGCTGTATCGCCGACCCGGAAACCACACCAGTAAGCCAGCTCACTGAGCAGCGAGCCTCGCAACGTCCCGACCAATCAGAGCACACTGGGCTCACAGGGGGGGGGGGGGCAGGAGCTCCAACAAGCCGTGTAGGATAGAGAGTGAATACACAGACTATACAGAGATGCTGTTGAGAAACCAATGTGAGTTTAGGAACATTGAACAATGTGAATCTATTCTAGTAGACCTCAACAATGGAATTATGATCAGTAGAAATGGCCATGACATGGGACCTTTAACAGTTATTACATGCATGTTAAGGCATGCATATCAGGGGTTTTTAAGAGTTCCCCCCCCCCTTTGTTTGGTGTATATATCCGCTAATTTAAGCTGTCTATGAGCGTCATAGCTCTTCGTTAGCATGCCTGTGAACCTTTAGCCTCGTCCTGTGTTCAAAGGTGTCGGGCAGCTGCGGAAACGGAGGCTTAAAACCATCCGATATGATCTCCACAGCTGAAGGCGGTAAGTGAGGCGGCGGTGAAGATCTGACTTCTGGCCAACTCTTGTGAGTCCGGCTGGAGGTTGAGACTGATAATTAACCGTATTTAAAACACATATTCCGGAAGAAGTCTTTCACAGTCAATACAGAAGAATCAGTTTTCATACAGTGGTGAAATTATTACGTTTTTTGTTGGCTGAAAATAAAGTAAGCATCGCAAAGCTAATGGCTTTTATCACCGCTAAGCTAAAGGTGGCTAATGTTGGGCTATAAAGGAACTACAGCACGGTCACATGACTTCACGTCACCACCGCTAAGCTAAAGGAGGCTAATGTTGGGCTATAAAGGAACTACAGCACGGTCACATGACTTCACGTCACCACCGCTTCCGCTAAGCTAAAGGTGGCTAATGTTGGGCTATAAAGGAACTACAGCACGGTCACATGACTTCACGTCACCACCGCTAAGCTAAAGGTGGCTAATGTAGGGCTATAAAGGAGCTACAGCATGGTCACATTACTTCACGTCACAACCGCTAAGCTAAAGGTGGCTAATGTTGGGCTATAAAGGAGCTACAGCACGGTCACATGACTTCACGTCACCACCGCTAAGCTAAAGGAGGCTAATGTTGGGCTATAAAGGAACTACAGCACGGTCACATGACTTCACATCACCACCGCTAAGCTAAAGGTGGCTAATGTTGGGCTATAAAGGAGCTACAGCATGGTCACATGACTTCACGTCACAACCGCTAAGCTAAAGGTGGCTAATGTTGGGCTATAAGGAGCTACAGCACGGTCACATGACTTCACGTCACCACCGACTAAGCTAAAGGAGGGCTAATGTTGGGCTATATAAAGGAACTACAGCACGGTTCACATGACTTCACGTCACCACCGCTAAGCTAAAGGAGGCTAATGTTGGGCTATAAAGGAACTACAGCACGGTCACATGACTTCACGTCACCTCCGCTAAGCTAAAGGAGGCTAATGTTGGGCTATAAGGAACTACAGCACGGTCACATGACTTCACGTCACCACCGCCTAAGCTAAAGGTGGCTAATGTTGGGCGTGATGCGTTTAGTCGTGTCATTTAGACACTTTTAATTCCACCAGTGCGGGTATTTTTATGTCATAGAACAAAACGGTTAAAATCTCCTCATCTTGTTTTTACCACAGATGTTTTTTCAGGATAACAACCAGTGTTTTCTGTCCTATTCCTGCACCACTCTTTATAGTTTGGCGTGTACCGGATTTACTTAAATTCATCAAGACTCAGTTTTCAGATTCTTTGTTTAACATGGTGAAAACAAAGAGTAATTGATAATTTTGTGGCGGAAGTATTTCGTTAAGACTCTTAATATTTAAACTGGTGTATAAACAGATAACCAACACATTTCACCTGAAACGTCCCCTTCCCTTTCTCCCATAAACTCTTTATTTCTCTCCTCACCGATGCACCCTCAGGTGTTTCTACCCTCCCAGTAATCAGAAGAGACTCTCCTCTTTCCTCGACCCCTCCTCCGTATACGGCTAAACGTTTGGCCCCTGATGGTTTTATAGTCCTTTTCCTCCCTTTATAGCTTCTCCGTGGCGCTGAGCAGAGTCCTAAAATTGATCCCAGGCTCCTCCTCGGCGATGCCTTGTTGAGACATTGGCAGCGGTCGATGATATTCCAGCAGCTTCTGGCCGATTGGTCTGAGGATCCTGCATTTCCATAACCAGGGGCTCCATATCCATATCTGAGCCCCCCTATATATATATACACCCCGGGATGATTTCTCCTCAGTGTTCTCCTCCTCCTGGACTCTTTTCTCCTCGTAGGTGAGCCCAGCTTCTTCTTCCTCCTCCTCTTCCTCTCTTGCATTGCATCAGTGCAGCTGGTTAATGGACACTGAGTGAAGTTGGTTAAGTGCTGAGGTGAAAAGGTCTCGACCTCGGAGGATTGTTAAGAAGTGAAGAGGATGTGATCAGGGTGAAGGAGAGGTTTTAATGAGGCTTCTGACTTTTTCGAAGCATTTGGCTGTTTTGCAATTCAACAACTAATTTCGGTAAACTTGAGCGTTTTGGAGTGCAGATCGGATTGTTTACACTTTGATTCTGGTGTTTGGCTGCATGAGATCTCCTGGGTATATTTAGAGAAGATGGTTAGATTTGATTGTTGTTGGAGAGTGCGCTGTACAATAGTTGTTATCCTTGCCAGGTATTCTGGAGTCACATTTAGCCATCAAGACAACATCTGACCACGGGTTGAGATTTCCACTTTATTGCAGTTCAGTTTCAGGAGTTTTTCCAGAAATGTCATTGAATTCCTTAAAGGAAGACGGCATGGAGCTGATGGAAATGATATCTTAGATTTAGCTGTGACTTATCACTACTACGTGATCATTTTGTAGTTTTTTAAAGCTATTAGTTTCAGAATGTGTGTTCAACGCATGGGCTGGACTTTTCTGGTGTTATATCAGGGGTAAATAAATGCTTTAAAGATAAAAACGATTTATTTTATATTGCATTTTGATTTTAAATCATTTAATCTTGAATGTTGTGGTTACAAAGTAAACAATAGAGATGTTTTGAAAATATGCAAATACATGCCAATTTAAGTCTAAATCAAGTGTGAATATCTCGCGGTGCTCAGATATCTCCAGCTCGTTTACCGCCTTTTTATGAGACGGAAAACGACAACCTGAATTATTTATAGTAATAAATAACTCTTGCAATCTGATCAGAGCAGCTTGTTTAAACTGGTTTATTTTGGCACCGGTGTGTGTGTGTGTGTGTGTGTGTGTGTGTGTGTGTGTGTGTGTGTGTGTGTGTGGTGTATTTGGACAGTTACTATATCCTTCAAGCGTGGTATTAGCGTTTTAATTTAAAATAGTGATCTGAATATTTCCTTACCAATGACGTTGAGAGTATAGTTATGATTTAGTGTGTGTGTGTGTGTGTGTGTGTGTGTGTGTGTGTGTGTGTGTGTGTGTGTGTGTGTGTGTGTGTGTGTGTGTGTGATACTTGCCAACCTTGAGACCTCAGAAATCGGGAGGATTTCAAAACCACCGCGGGGGGGGGGACCTGTATTTTATTTACAGGAAAGGAGTGAGCAGAGGGTAGATTTGCCGATTCTTGTTCTGTTTTCTGTGACTATCAGCTCACCCTCTCAGACTTTCAGTTGCGCGCGCTACTGAAGAGACGTGCTACCATGGAACCAACAATGGGTGTAGCTGTATTAAAGTCAGAGTGGAAACAGTCCTGAGTAAATCTGATTTAGTCAGAAGTCGGGAGAAATGCGGGAGAAATATGACCCCGGGAGGAAACTGGGAGAGGGCAATGAAATCGGGAGTCTCCCGCGAAAATCGGGAGGGTTGGCAAGTAGGCTATGGTGTGTGTGTGTGTGTGTGTGTGTGTGTGTGTGTGTGTGTGTGTGTGTGTGTGTGTGTGTGGTGTGTGTGTGTGTGTGTGTGTGTGTGTGTGTGGTGTGTGTTGGCATGTCTTCTTGCCGCCCGCTGCACATTCCCCCCTCCCTGAAAGGAGTTGAAGTGTTATTCCCGCGGGATCTTGGGGTTTGAGCACCTGCAGAGAAGCTTATCGCCGGCGTCATGCGACCCAAACCCCGGCGTCCAAATTTAGCTATGTCAACATGCTCATCAAAAGCTCTCTGAGATCGCCTTTCACACGGAGGAGGGTCTCCCATATTTAAGCGCAGTGCGGATGAAAGCATCGTTTATTCTTAATGACTTCTTCTTCTTCTTCTTCTTCTTATTTTCTGTCAAACAGGCCGTGAAGAAAGACAACCGCCATCATGTCTGAGTAAGTGTCTCTGCTATCAATGAGTGTTTTTGAAAAAGTGGATTTTTAATTGGCTTCGGATGAGGATTAGAACCACATGAGAATTATCATTGTTTTGGTTGATTGAAATGTTTGAGTTGATTGAAATTGGGATTCTGAGGAAAAAGTCATAATTGGTATTTCCTCAGAGCTTTGACTTTAATCTCAGAACAAAAATAAATAAATTCACCTTAGGTTGGATTTCAAAAGATGTTCCCATGTGGCGCTAATGGTCTTCCGTAAATATCCTATCATAGTCTGACAACATTTCTGATTGCATGCAAAATTCCTGTTTCCAAAGTTGTATTTTTAGCGTCAGCATGGATGGGTACCAAGGTCAAAACAAAGGACTTAATGTGAGTTTTTGTTCTGGGTGAAAACACGTCTCAAGGTTTAATTACAAGGCGTCTGAATCAGCTCAATAAAAGGACGGAGGAATATTAGACATCAAATCAAAAGAGCAACAGAAATAAGATGATAGGAAAGGTGACAGAGGGAAGAACAAAGTATTATGGAGAGAAGGAAAGAAACAAACGATAATAAATAAAAAGGAAAGGAGGGGTCGAAGGAAGGAAAGGGGAAGGGAGGATTTAAGGAATAAGATAAGATCAGATAAGATGGACCTATATTATTTAAATCCAGTAGTTGAACAGCAACAGAGTGAGAGCGAAAGTGCAGCACAGATTAATACAATTAAAGATCAACATTTAAATTGGTAAATAACTGTTAAAACAAGACATGAATTACATGAACATAAATACATATTTTGTTAGATATATTTACATGTGTGTGTGCAGGTCAAGTTATTGTGCAGGACAGTGCAGATTTTATTTAAAAAGTGCAAGAGAAAGAAAAAGTGATGAGAAGAGGAAGGAAGGAAACAGAGAGAGATACGGGAAGAAAGAAAGACAGAAGCAACAACACAAACAGAACGACCAGAGGAAGGAAGATGAGGAAGGAATCGTGTCAAGTGTGAAGGAAGGATGAATGGCAAAAAGGAGAAGACGTGAGGGAAGAATAAAGCGTTTGTTGGTTGTTGTTAAAGGTTTTCTTTAAGGCAGTTTTCCTAAGCGAAGGTCTCAGGGTTTTATGTCCGATTGTAAAATAATCAAAAGTGCGACCTGTGATATCAGTGGTTTAAAGAAGAGCTGCTGGCAGACGGATTGTGTTTCTGGGGTTTGCTCAAACACTTTTAGGGTTTCAGCTGAAACACCCCTCCACTCACTAAGGAGAAGGCTTTCTACACCTTTCATTTAGCACATCAGGGGAAAGAGCAATTCAGTATTTTAATACATGAGACCCTGACAGGTTTTTCTGATCTTTGCAGCAAGAAGATGAATTCGAGCCGCAGGCATCATCTGAAGGTACGACACGTTTTCAGTTCAGGTGGATTGGTGATAAAGCTGCTGATTGGATGATGTCTAACAGTTATCATGACCTGCTTCAAAGTGCTGAAGATAGAGCCTATAATGTGCTTTTTATAACGGTTTTATTAAAGTTAGACATGACTTTGTTTAACAACCAATAAGTCACTTGTTGCAGATTTAATCAGAAATGTTTGTAAATGGAATCCATCTTTTTTATTGTCATTTTACTGAAATATAGTAAAAACAATTTAAAAGTTAAAACATCTATTTTGTATTTGTCTTTTTAACTTAATTAAACTGGTATCATTGTTCATGTTCTATAATATTGTAATCAAACTTTTAAACATTTTGATTTATTTTGTGCTTTGGGATTCATCCGTGCGTGGAAGCTGCTATAAATACATTTATTATTATTAATATTAAATAATTAAAAGGAGCTTAACAATTACCAGCCGCAGCATTAAAGTGACGAACACATGAATGCATTAATAATAATATACAGTATATATCAAGTATTCTTCTGCATGATGAGTAGTTTAACTTGAGTCTGTGCAAAGCTCTCTGCGGCGCCCTCTGATGGTGAAACCTGTGAAGACTTGGAGCATTTCAAGGAAGCTTTCTGATTAAATATAAATAACTTATGGATTGAAATTGTGATGTTTTATGAGTTTACTATGGAACATGTACCTATTACTTTTTGAATTAACAAACATTTTGTGCAAAAACCACAACAGTTTTACATACAACAATCTGACATACAATAAGATCGAAAACCTGATCTATCTATCTATCTATCTATCTAGCTATCTATCTATTCTATCTATCTAGCTATCTATCTAATCTATCTATCTATCTATCGATCGATCCTCTCTAGCTCTCTATCCATTCTATCTATCGATCTATCTAGCTATCCTCTCTATCGCTCTATCCATCTATGCTATCTATCTATCTATCTATCTAATCTATCTTATCTATCTAATCGATCTATCTATCTACGTATCTATCTAGCTCTATCCAGCTTATCATCTATCTATCTATCTACTTCTATATATCTATCTATACTATCGATCCATCTATCCATCTATCTATCCCTCTCTCCCATCTATCTATCTATCTATCTATCTAGCTATCTATCTATCTATCTATCTATCTATCTAATCCTATCAGTAATCTATATATCTATCTATCTAATCCAGCTATCCATCCTAATCTATCTATCTATCTATCCATCTATCTATCCCTCTCTTCGCATCTCATCTATCTATCTATCGATCCATCTAATCTTCTATCTCTCTCCTTATCTCTCTCATCTCTCTCTAATCCATCTATCTAGCTATCTATCTATCTATCGATTCGATCGATCCTATCTATCCTCTAAGCCATCTAATCTATCTATCTATCCAATTATATCTACTATCCATCTAGCCATCTATCTAGCAAACCTCTCATCTCATCTATCTATCCTATCGATCTATCTATCTATCTACTCTATCTACTATCTATCCCTCCATCTTTCTA